TTGTCTATTCTTGTGGTGATTTTTCCTTCCATGTGTAAAGTCTCAGTTACGTTTGTGCTAAAGGGTGACAGTGGAAGATATTTCACCTTATGAGCATGATAACTTAAAAAGTAATTGACGGATCTTATCACCATTTACCATTTTTTGCTTATTTCTCTTATTACTTACTATAGGGAGCTGGCCTACATGTACTGTGAAGAAAGTAGAAATCTTAAAATAAGAAGTCCTAAACCCAAAATAATAAGGATTATGTTTTGTTATTGACAGGGTAACATGATATGTGAGAACATGCCATTCCACTCAATCACTTACCAGGTGACATCAGTTAAGCCTATGAGGGTTCAGGGCTTAGGGGGGACATTGGGATTGGGCTCATGAGTGAGGTGAAGCACCATCACTGAGCAGTAGTGCGAATATCTTGCTTTCCTGTGGGTTATGGTTTTGCTTTATGCTATATGTGTATTAGATCTGCCATACTTTTACTATGGCTGTAAGTAATTATCCCATCTATTTCTGTTTAGACTCTATGCGTTTAAAGAATCCTTCTTTAGACCCAGCGCTTGCACTGAAACTGAGATTTGTCCCCCCAAATTGTTATGTCATGAAATACATATGGTTTTGGGTCCGGTCTGTCATCACTGCAGAAACTCATCTCGTTAACATGGGTATTTGTCAAATTGTGTAGCAGATACATTCTACGGTTGAAGTTCTGCAACTGATTAAATTTTAAAACAGATAACAGAAAAAAGAAAACAGCGGCACATAGTGGTAACAAAGAAAAGGGCTCAGACACTTGATCCCATTACCGTAAAACCTCAAAAAGTGGAACTGGGAACTGCAGACAATTTGAGATAAATTGTGCGAAACTTGAAGCAGCCTGCATAGTGTCAGCAAAGGAAAGGGTGACAGCAGAAGATATTTTACATTGTGAGCGTGATAACTTACAAAGTACTTAATGGATCTTATTACCATTTACTTTTTTGCTTATTTCTCTTATATATCACTTAGTTTAGGGAGCTCTCTGAGAATCTCAGCTAGTTTCCTGCATGTACTGCTGTTTGCTGTACTGTTTGTGCATTTTTGAGTACATTGTTGTCATTACAACAGGAGGTAAGTTTCCTTTGGGATGGCGGGAATGTCTGAGTTACATCTTCTCACCCAGAAGGCCACACATTCTTTTTTGTCATCTACCTGCAGACTCTGCATTTTCACAAAGCTGAAGAAGATGTTCACGTTGGATTCAGCCAGCTATTGTCCTTGCTTAACAAACCTGGGGCCCCTTATTCACTGAGCATTGCCAACCGCTTGTATGGAGAGCAGTCTTATCAGTTTGTTGAGGTGAGATCATCGTTATTTTTTAATCCTGTTTCCCCCCCCAAAATATTATTCTACAAAATATCCTTACTATGGACTGGTTAAGGATTCATGAGACGTCAGTGGTGCATGTTGTGTTTAATGCTTTCCTGCTTGTTTCCTGCCTTTTTCATGTGCCTGACCTCTAAATTATTTAGATCCTCTAAATGTTAGGTGATTGTGAAAGACCCACTTCCTGTCTCTTATGACCCCACAGAAATTCCTTACTGACAGTAGGAGACACTACAACGCTGATCTGGAGCCTGTTAACTTCCGATCAGACGCCGAGGCAGCCAGGGTGAACATTAACACCTGGGTGGAGAAGCAGACAAACGGTGCGTCCGTGGCTGCAGCCGATAAGTCACATGAGTGGTCTGTGACCAGTGATGTATGATAAATATTATTGTTGGTTAAGAAGAAACAAATATATGTCCAGGACTTTTGCCATAATATGAATGTTGTTTTTGAATAATTTATCATTATGCTATTTAAGAAACACCACTTTCTCTTTCCCTTCTTTTTGTAGAGAAAATCAAGAGCTTGTTGGCTCCAGGGGCAATTGACCCCTTAACTAGACTTGTCCTGGTAAATGCCATCTATTTCATCTGTAACTGGCAGAAAAAATTTCGTCCTGCAAACACAAGGGAAATGCCCTTTAAAATAAACAAGGTAAACTTGATGTTTCACTGGTTTAACAGCAAATCTGTATGTGTATCTGATATGCTAACCAGAAAGGGCATTTCCTGAAGAAAGTGCATGATTGCTGTGTCCATAAAAGCTCAAAAGTATTCAGCCATCTTTCATCTGTTAAACTCTCTTTCATTCCTTCTTTTCCCTCCCTCTATTTTATATTTGTATTGGGAAAATATTAATGGAATTAGGGATGAAAAAGGGATGTGGCTGCAATACCAAAAAGAAAAATACGAGCTCACTTCTGCTTCATGGGTAGGACATTTGAGAGATGAAGGTAGAGTTTTTAGGTGAAAAATTGTAGGAGGAGATACAGTGTTGTGCAAAAGGCTTTGGCAGTCAAAGGAAATGTTTAACGCTCTTTATCTGAGTAGTAAGGTTATATGTGCTCAGAACAAAAACACAATTTAATATTATAACATAATAAAATTAAAAGTAAAACAACAAAAATTAACATGAATTTTGTCCACTCTCGAAAAACTATCCTGATATCTTATTGGAAGGCTAGATGAACAGTGCTTCAGGTTCCAAACCACTCAGGAGCGCCTCAGACATACAGGATGGATGGATAGATAGATATGTGAGAGAACACAGTGATTGCTGCGCACAGCAATTGCAAACATTAACGTTGTTTCAGGTTGTGCTTTTGCATTTAAATTGACCCAGTCTGCTTCTTCCCCTGATGTTTTACTCCAGAATCAGAGTGTGCCAGTGATGATGATGAACCAAACAGACAAATTTGGTTTGACTTACATTCTAGAGGCAAAGTGTCAGGTTCTGGAGATGCCCTATGTTGATGAAGAGCTCAGCATGCTCATCATGCTACCAAGTGAGATCAATGGGCTGGAGGAGGTAGGTCTGAATGACAGAAGTTGCTATAAAACATGCTTGTGACCTACAGTAACATCTAAATCAGAGTAGAGGTCTCTTGTCGTTGCCTCCCTTCTTATAAGTGCAGATGATAGGTGGTAATTAGGTATTTAGAATTTATTAAGAAATGGCTACCCAAGTCAATAAGACAAGCAGCTTCTGACCTTCTGAATCCCAGACCACGACCACAGATGTTAAGGCCTAAACCCAGGCTTGTTGCCTCTTTTAAAACTCTGCATACTTCTGTTTCAATCAGGTTAGGAGGTTAAAATAAAATACTGGGGATCCTACGCTATTTAATGCTACTTTAGTGTTAGACTTTTAATAAGGAGCTAATGACTCTACCTGGTTTTCTCCCAAAGCTGGAACAAAAGCTCACATGTGAGAACCTTACGGACTGGACGAGACCAAACATGATGCACGTTCAGGAGGTGATTGTGAAATTGCCCAAGTTTAAGTTGGAGGAGACCTATGATATGAAGCAGGTCCTGAGCAGCATGGGTATGGTGGACGCCTTTGATAAACAGAAGTGTGACTTCTCCGGCATGTCTCCCGATAATGACCTGGTGCTCTCCAAAGTGGTGCACAAGGCCTTCGTAGAGGTGAATGAGGAAGGCACAGAGGCGGCCGCTGCCACTGCATGTCTCATGAGTTTTGGCTGTTCCATGTCACGCAGCCGGCCACTCATGTTCACTGCAGACCACCCCTTCCTGTTCTTCATCAGGCACAATCCCACTAAGAGCATCCTCTTCTATGGCCGCTTCTGTTCACCCTAAAGCCTGAGCATTTCTCAGGTGGAACATGATGGGTAAATATAACAAAGATAACCGAATACTGTCTGCGTTGTTGTGATGCCAAATTACTTTAAAAATGGCATTTTTACTCCTGCTTTTCTATGGACCTTTACAATGTATTTTGAACAAAATACCAAAGATTATCCTGAAAGTGAGAAGCAGTAAAATCCTTGAAAATGAATAAAAATGAAAATTCATATGTAACATGATCTATGCCTCTTTGGGTGTCTATAAGGCAAACCCGGGAAATGCGGTGACCCTGATGCCATCGAGACAACACTTACACAGCTCCCCAGCTGACTGCTGTGTGCAGGAGCCGCCCTGCCCTGATCAGCATCCCGGAGTGTACATCACACACGGTACAGGACACCACAGGCTACCACAGGCCACAAGCACAGATGCCTCTCTGTGCAGTTTGACACAGCTGCTAACTAGCATCACTTGCAAACAAATAACTAGTCAATCCAAGCTAATCTTCAGCTGTGAAATACATAGCAAATATCAATTCTAGACTTCTATTGGGTATCTGGTGTGATTTCTCATTGAAAATAACAGGAGCTAAAATGTCCATTGAGTGTGTTGTAGACCTTTGGTATGTGTTGTATATGTATTTGGATGTGAGAAATACTACATTGCTTACCTACTAGTGTAAACCTCTACAATAAGGCACCACATGGCCCGATTTGCCAAACTGAAGGGTCCGTCCCAGCATATACCCACAACGTGTCCTCTCACAGGCCTTACCCTTAACCAGCAATACTGACATATACCCTGTCCTGCTTCTCCAACATGCTAAGGAACATTCCTGGGACTACTGGGACGTTTGGGGAGCGCTTCAGTTCGCTGTGCTATAAATTTCACTGGTTACAGGTGACATTTATATTCTGTCTTGTCCAGTGATCATTCCATCACTTGAACCACTTTGTACAATTGCGTTTTACAGAAGCAATAATATCACCAGATCATGAAAAACACATGATGATCACCATGTCTACTGATTCCTAGGAGTATCTGCTGTTTGCAAGTCATTCAAATTCCCCAGATTTCAATCAGATCAAGAATTTATGGGATTCAAAGTGAAGGCAGGCACATAACCAACGTGATACTATGTGCTTTAAGTAATTTTAAAACGACGTTTTATACTTTATCCCTGCTCATCCAATTCAGTTATTCAAAATTTTCTGATTCTCACATTCTTGCCCCCCCCCTTCCGCTTTAGTGATGCATTAAAGCTAGATAGTTATTTTCAATTTCTTTTTCAGCTAGCTTGTCAGTGCTACAAGTCTCTATTAAAAATCTTTACTAATACCATTCTCCCATTGGTCTTTCTTTATTTATTATATTTGTATTATAATAATAATTACTAATACTACTACAAATAATAATAATAACAACAATACAGGAGCTTCCTATTATTTTCTCCTTTTATATACTCATACAAATATTTATCAGCTCAACGACACTGACAGTATTCACATCATTACTGGTGGTGTTTACACTTCTTTAATAACATTAAATCTTATTGTATGCCTGATCTTAGAACAGCTGCCATTATTGTCTGTCCCGTTGGTGGGAAAATGTTTGACTGCAATGCTTTATCTAACCCTATCATGAAAATTACACAAAATGTATACAAACAAATGTGTATATATCTGTAATTTCCAGTAGGTGACAGCATACATCAAGTGAATAGACAAACTGAGTTTTTTACCATTGATTTTTTCATTTATGATATCCGAACATGTAGATAACATTTTTATGAAGGTTGAAGAGTTACCCATCCCTCTCTTTTACAAATCCATACATATCGCAACGCATATTACATGCATTGCAATGCATATTACAAGAGAGGTGTATTGGGTACCTCATTCTGGGGCACCAGACATATCTTTTTGTCAAATTGCCCCTTACAGCATTGCATTTCTTCTCACTGTAGTGCACAGGGTGCAGAAAATAGACGCTGTATGTGAAACCAGATGCACCCTGATTTTTTTAATGAAGTTAATGTAATTCTCTTGAAAGGGAAACATTTCCTAGTATCAAAATTGGCTTGTTGTCCAAAGCTGCATCATAGTAGCGCAATTACTGCGTAAGGTGCACAAAAGTCTGCGCAGACTTTACAGCATATTATAGCTAATAGAAACCCAGAGCAACTATGACAACAATGAAAATGGGACCCGGCCTCTCGTTGGCCATGAAATCCAGGGGTTTAACAAGTCGACTGGCATGACCTTTGCACAGGGCAAGGGCTTCAATGTTTATGTCAGCTGACCTTTGGGACAAATGTAAATCTACCTCAATTCTTAACCAAGAAAAGGAACAATTATCACATTGTCAACTAGATCAGCAAATCAGTAACGGATTCATTTCATCTTCACGGTTAAACTTACAAGGCACTGGACGAATAGATGAGTTTTCTGGCTGGGTAATGTCTCTACGTGCAAAGACAGAAGCAGTGCCTAAAAGGAATTTTAATAATTTTTTTGTGAAATGTTACAAAAGTGTAAGAGATAAATCGATCAAATGACAGACAGGGCCAAAGAGATGTTCATGTATAAAAGGAGGCGAATGGACAAAGGCAGTTTCATCTACGAATAACAAAGCTTAAAAAAATTCAATTAAAAAAATATTAGAATTTCAACTCTATTCTAACTCAGCCCCATAAGTGGCAATCAGCCCAAAAACTTGATTTCACGCCTGAAAGTGCATAAGAAAGTACAGCTGAGTAATGGAGCTCACGACTCTGTATTGAGGGTTGGGTGGTGATCGACCCTATTTCAACAGTTTTGGCACAGTGGACGTCACGGCGATGTCCCTGAACACCGGCGGGATGCTGGCTGCGGCCGACGGCTTGTTCTGGCTCAGCGTCTCTATGATCATCTGCTTCATGTCGCGACTGGCATCCCCCCTGACGGCCAGCAGGGTCATGATGTGCTCCTCCCTTCAGTGGGGGTGGGGTGGGGAGAGAAGCTTGGTCACATTTTGTTCGCTTCGCGACAGATGCGGTTAACCATGCGACACGCAAAGCGCAGGTCGACGCCGACAGCAGCCCAGGACAAACCGCCGATGGTGTATTATTAAGACTCAAAGCTTATCCACGCTGAAAAAGGTTGACTGATTCACTTACCCACCTGATACTTAGCTTACCTTTACACTGAGGTATTTACCGCCAATCCGTTGCATTAATGGGAAGAGGTGCATGTCATTTATCAAAAAATGTAACCACTTCATATCAATTAAAAGTAATTTACATAGTATTCTTCCCATCATAATCACCCCGAAGCAGATGGGTTGGGAGTGAGACGACAATACACTGGAGGTCAAAAAAACCACCCTGAGAATGTTTATGGAAATGCGAGATGGTTTAGAAATGTCAGGGAGTCCAAAATCAAGACTATTCTACCTCAATGATCTATCAAACTTCATACACGTTAAGAGACACTCTGTAGGATACTTTGGGGACAGTGAGGTACATTCCAAAGATTAATCACAACAAAAGCAAACATCTCACCTGATATCGGGGTACTTTGAGACCAAAGTGGACACCTCTAGGTAGAGCAGCGATGGGTCGGTCAGGTTGAACACCTCAGCTATGGCAGCGATGGCGTCACACAAATGGTCACTGTCGTGACTCTGAAGGACACAGCAGGGTGTGGTTAGCATGCGCTAAAGGCAAGAACGATCAGCTTAAAATGGGCAATTGCAGAATGCGACATGGATTCATACAGGCACTAATGCATTATACTGACCATGGTTCTTCAATATCGTTTCAAATAGTATTCACTAGCACTATTTAAAAAAAAAAAAAAAAACACCCACTCCTCCTTTAGCGACCTCCTCGGTTAGCGACCGTTCACAAATATGACGGTAATAAATTAATTTTCTGACCAATGTGCACATTCATGACCAAACTTCCTGTGCCCGACAACACACGTCAGCGTGAGAATAAGGCATGGCTGTCCGAGAACTTTATCGGAATGAGACGCCAGCGACCAGTGGTCTCCGCAGCGCGAAGCAGTCGCGGTCACGCCTAGGCTACCGTGATTTTCACTTACCGACCATTTTGCTAAATTAAAATGGAACGCGGTCGCTAAATGAGGAGTGGCTGTATTCATAAAATGAACTGTAAGAGCTGAGTGGTAAATGGTGGCTAGGGAGGGACAACACGTACAGAAGATAGCTTCTGGAAGAGAGCCCGGAATTGCGTAGCTTCCTTAATCATCCGTTCGGCTCCCTTCTTCCGCTCTTCGGCGTTCCTGAAGGATATACGCTTCTGCATTATAGCCTGGAGGTACTCCACCACCACGCGGCGTTGGGCGTTACGTGTCATCTCCTGAAACGCAGATGCAGAAACAAAAAGCTCTCAGCCGTGCTATAACGCATTTCTGTATTGTCACCGGCCCCTCTGAAATTTTTCCCCCTCCTCTTTTTAAGCTCACCTCACTGTATGGCTTCTTGATTTTGGCGAAGTCGTTGAAATAGTCCTCTACAGTCAGACAAATGGCATCTGTCGTATTGGAACCCGCCAACCAGTTCTTCGTCAGCAGATCGCTGAGGAGTTTCTACAAAAAGAAAATGTGGAAGATGAAGTACGAGGGTAAAGGAATGAAGTGTGGAAAACTGCCCCCCCATGCTCCCTAAACAGCACAATGTTGCATGTCTTCCTGCTAAAGCAGCCTGCCGCCAATCCCGATTCAGTTTAGGCATCTGGTTTGGAGACACGGACTGGCCTCCTGCCCTCTGCTGGCCACTTCGCTGTACCGCCTCACCTCCAAGTCCAGGAAGACTTCATCCAGCAGGAATTGACAGCCCTCTCTGGCCACCTCGTTGAGCGAATTCTCAATCGCAGCGTCATTGTGCGTGGCCTCTTTCGTTCTGGAGTATTTCATTCTGAGACTGTTTATAGAGTCTCTGGAAATTAAATATAAAAAAATTATATGTGCGTGTGCGTGTTGTACACAGTATCTATCACAGCTGGGTGGGCATGTCTTTTATCAGCAATTTTTTTGATTCCTTCAATTTACATCTTTATGTCTGATTACAACTGTTACGCCTTGTTTCCTTGAAGCCAACTATGATCTCAGATCCATCAGTAATGACAGGCTTACTTAAATGTCTGGCAGTTGTTGATGATGGCAATCATGTACTGAACGTAGCACTGGGGAACCTGTCGATCTTTCAGGTGCTCTTCCTTGTAGGTGACGGCCTCGTCTCGGTACCTGAATGAGAACGTGTGGCTGTGAGGATCTCTGTAGAGAGGCTGGCGTCGGGCGGGCATGACGCCAAGACGAAAGAATGGCATTGAACCCGAATGGCGAAGCACAGAGTAAATTTAGTCTGTCTGAAGACTGAAGGTGTCGAGACCAGAGCAGGGTGGAAAAAGCCGATGACACTGGGACCAAGATGCAACATCCTCCCCACGCCGTTTATCTTACCTGCGCAGGAACGAGTTCATCTGCTTCAGACAAAGTCGTAGCACCTCCTCCTTAAAAGCCTCGTCAATCTGTGCTGCCACCTGCAGGTTCTGCTCAAACATCTACGCATGGAGTCAACTAATTAGCTTCGCAAAACGTTCCTCCTGCAACTTCACCTCCTTTGGTCATGGTGAGTCGTGAGACGGCGAGCCTGGGGGGCGGTGGGTAGTACCTGGAAAACGATGGCGGGAAGTGTGGTCTGATAGTATCCGTCTTGGTCTGCCTCTGGTTCAGTGCTCTTCTGCCAGTCCTTCTTGTCCGTGTCCAGGGCTTTGCGAAGCCAGCCGGTGATGTTGGACTGAGGCGCACAAACATAAGGGACAGAGCATGTTCCCTCAGCTAGTTTTTACAGGCTTGCAAATTGCATATATCACATCACCACCAAGCAACATTAACACTGGTGTGTTAAGCTTAGGTCATGCTTCACTTTTCCACATGCTGTTACAGTTGTTCTGGCTGCACAAGTCTCCACGTGCAAACAGCCGTGATAATCCACCAGACCAGCAGAGGGCAGATGTTTGGCAACAAACACAAATACAAGCAGTCTATTGAAATGGGTAAACTTTTATGAACAATTTTAAAGTTGTTACTTAGGCTTGGATAATATGGTATATCGTGATATTTTGAAATATATGACAGAGACAGCGGATCATTATTTCTATGCAACTTTGTCACTTTAAATCGATATTTTCTACACATTGTCAAGTTTTTAACAGAACTGTGATTAAAAAAATACCTTTGGATATATATATATATATATATATATATATATATATATATATAT